TTCCATTAGCGCTTATGACAAAAAAACTTTAAACATGATTAATCATTTCAATCATGCGAAAATTTGGTTTAAAATAGATTTTTTTAATATAACTTTCATTTAACGAAAAACGAAGGCCTAAATGAAAAAAAGAAACAATTTAAAAGTTTCGCTTATGTCTTGACAATGTATCAAAGCAAACCCCATATTTTTTGCTTTTAAACTAATAAAGATATATCAATAAACAATTAGCGATGTAATGGTTTCTGCGCGCGCTGGCCGACTGCCGCCGCTGCGCCGAGATTTCCTATACCCTTGTATATATGACGTCATGGTGTGGCAAATGTAGCATTTTAATTCGATTTGGGCTCCCTTATATAGGATAACAGAAACATTTTCAATGTTAAAATACAGTAGACTTATTTCCCTAGTATAATCATTTTATTAATGGAAATAATAGTCTGGCACACAGAGCTGCAACAAGTCAGTTTTAAAAAGACTTAATAAGTCTCAAGTCAATTCTAAAATCAAAATGATTTAAGTTTTAAATCAATTTCAATATAAAGTTCAAATGACTTAAGTTTTAAGTCTTTGACTTAATTCATTTTCTATCAAGTCAAGTCATTTTTGTAAAGACTGAATTGTTTGTAAAGACTGAATTGAATTTTGTAAGAACTTGAAATTTAACGTATCATTTGATACTATCAGAAACTATAATTAAAAGCAAGTGTGGCAGATTTACGAAATTGGCAAATGAGTCTGGCAGCGCGGCATCTTGAAAATTGCAAAAATTTCAAAATTTTTGCTCTTATTTTCCCAGATTTGAGAATTTGCCACATGCCAAAAAAAAATATTATAATTTCATAGAAATGAAGTGATGAAGCCGCACGTGCGTATTTAGATAACATACGATAATAAAACACGGGTAACGACGCGGGAAATTTTTGACAATTTCGTGATTTTCAATACGGCAAAATCGAGAAACATACAGCAAATCACTTTTTATTTCAAAAAAAATTTAAAAGTCGCTCTAGATCCCAACACATGATGAGAAGTTTAAGACAAGTCACCTTGACCAGATATTTTTATTGCTATAACTCAAAAACTAAGGGAAATAGAACATAAAGTCAAGAGATCGATTTTTTAGAAAATACTATGTAAAAATGTAGAAAACTAAAAGCTTTCTCGTGTCTAATATTTATAAAGTTATTGGCAAATTAATTTTTTTGATGACAGACTCTGACATTTTGCTAAAACCATGTTTTTTGGATTCCTGAAGTCTTAAAACGTTGAGAAAAGCGTTTTTGACTATATTCAAGTTTCTCCCTAAACCAATACTTCTTTTATCATAAATTATGAAGACTAAAAACATGTAGAGATGACTACAATAATTCCCTGCATAATTGAACATGCCGAATTTACCGCACCTGACAGACGTCCACGGGCAGCTGTAATTATAATATAAACATCTGACAAATTTTTAAGACTGCGAAAATAAGAATAAGGGCAATGGTTTCACTAATTTTTATCCAATTTTTCACCTACCAGACATATTACCTAGACGATTTTTTTTCTTAACCGCACAACAAAAAAAAAGTGCAGTATGCATTTTCATAATATCATACATAATACATTAATAATATATATATACATAATAATATACTATACATAATAATATACCGGGTGCGTCGCAAAAGTGGCTCACCCCTATATTTTTTTTATTTTTTCAGATAAAAAAACGAGATTTGGTATGTTAGTATATGACATAAATTAGGATTGATTGACGTATTCAATTGTCTTCGGTCACTTCCTGTTTCACCGGAAATGACAACAGATTGATTTTTAAATGGCACCCTCGGTATTTTTTACTTCATTCGATAGAAAATGACACTTTGAGTAAAATGACATATCATATGTCAACTTTTGACATTTTCTCATATGGTTCATTTGAAATTGTAACATGCGGATCATAACAACAATTTGACTCGAAATACCAAGTGTGTGGTACCAAATTATTCGTAAAAAAATGCTTTTTCCAAATATACTAATGAGCCACCCTCGTTCTATTTGAAAACATTGAGATATGATTAAAAATACGATTTGGGCATCTTTTAACTGCCCAGGACAAGACAGTAAAAACATTAGACGATCAAATCTATTTTTCCAAGGCTGCATGTTTAAAAATTAGTGTTTTTAACACATCCGTGGCACTCTAGATTGAAATTTAAAATACAATTTCTTTTTAAATAGAAAATGTCGAAAGTTGACATGTAATATGTCATTCTATTCAGAGTGACATTTTCTATGGAATAAAGTGAAAATATACCGAGGGTGCCATTTAAAAATCAAAAGTTGTAGTCATTTCCGGTGACACAGGAAGTGACCAAAAACAATTGAATACGTCAATCAATCCCAATTTATGTCATATACTAACATACCAAATCTAAAAAGTTATAGGGGTGAGCCACTTTTAAGACGCACCCGGTATATACTAGGGTCGGCATTTCTGGTCTTGGGTGGCGATTTTCGTGTGTTTTAAGAGTACGGTCAACCACGCTTAGTAAAATAAGATGTACTGAATAAAGACAGAAGGCAAGTATTTTTCCAAGCGCATGGAACCTAGCGTCAAATTAAATGATTATGTAATAAATACTACGTATTTTTCCTCTCTCCGACTTACTAGATTGCCATAGCGATTCACTCCTATACATATGTAAACGCCGACCCAAGGTTTCGCTTGCCAGCAGGGTATAATATAATCATTGACATAATTCCCTGTAGACATAAGGGATTATTCTAGGGATGTTTAACCTTACTAGGAAAATAAATACCGAAAATCTTCACTGCCTCCTAGACTAATATTTAATTATTTAGAATTTCTTCTAAATATATTTGCAACGTAAATTATTTAATAAATACCCAAGACTATTTTTAGATACATTGTTGCTTAACGATTTTGATCTAAATACTTAAGTATTTGAAAATGTTGAAATAAATGTATTTACGGACATTCTTAAGCAACAAAAACAACAACATTCCAAGTATTTGTTAATTACTTAAAAGTATATATAAACAGAAACAACTTAGTAAATTGCTTGTTATTAGGTAAAAAAATTCCCAAACTTTAGAAAAATTTCTGTTTCTCAGTGATAAATGATCATAGTATGGTTTCTTGTAAATCTGTATTTTCTTATAAACATAGGTGATATAAGGATTGACTAAATCCAACCAGTAATTGTATGCTTCAAAATATATTAAGTAATTCCTCCAATCAGCCGGTTCACTTGCAATTTTATTACTTAAGCAATTAGACGTGGAATCCATCTTGCCTGTTGATGTTTGACTTGTCAACTGAACGTCAAATAGTTATAATGTAGATGTCGCAGGCGTATCGAATAAAGCTTGCTTTTCATGCATCCGTTGTCCGACGATACGTTGATACGATATTAATTTTATTGGTAGAATTTAAAGACTTTGATTGGTTAGAAAATAACCAATTAATTTTCATGCCTCCGTTTATCGGATATACGTTGGTGTCATTTTATATTTTCGTTTCCATAACGATTTTGCTATTTTACTTATATTTTTATTAAGGTTAGATTAAATTTGTCAAAAAAGTGTCAAAACGTCCGTTATCGTATGAACGGATCCATTGACGGGCTAAAGTAAAATATTTACGGATGAATGGCGCGAAAACGCTATGACCAATCAGAACCCCGTCGGACCATCGTATCAACAGTATCAACGTATAACGGATGCATGAAAATCAAGCTTAACTCGGCATTTTTCAAAAACACTAGGCTTATTATAAAACGCAGGCGTTTTTAACAAAAGAAGGATATTTTACAAAGAGCCTATCTGTTTTCTGTCACTTTGCAAGATGCCTAATGAGGACTAGTCTTATTGCATAAAACATTTTACGCGGGATTGGTATAACCAATAGTATAACTAACCTAAATTTATTTAACGACATTTTCTTGAACTTCTCTTTCAAAATTAGAAAATAATGGCACAAAAAGTGATAATTCTGTTAATAAGATATAAATTCATCTTATTCTAAGGGAAAGCAAAGTTTCACAAAGAAGCAGCCCTGTACACAGAATCGAATTACAGAATATAATAATTAAATAAGATATTAATATTAAAATTTAATATATTTTGTATTAAAAATTATGTTACTTATTAATATTATATATAAGACGAAAACAACTTGAACTCTATTTCATAAATAATTATTGAAATAAGGATCAAGTTGTTTTCGTCTAATCAAAATAAAATTTTGACATAAATTACTGTTTTTGTATAGGAAAATATGGTATTATATTAAATATAGCATAATTAAACAAATTATTCTATATGCTCATGCTCATAGCTGACTAAATTTTGATAATTTTTTAATATGCCTGGCTTTGATTTGGCATTTTGTAAAATGACTGAAAACAGCTACAGTCTTTTTGCAGAACTGTACAGAAAATATCGTTATTGTTTAATATGCCTAATTCTGATTAGGCTTTTTGCAAAGTGACTGAAAATAGATATGCTTTTTCTAAAAATTACTTCTTTTGTTTAAAAAGTCGGCCTAATTTGCCTAGTATTTTTGCAAAGAGCCGGATAATTCTATACGCCTGCGACATAGACACAACTTGGTCTGTACTTTTTATTTGCAAAATTTGGCGATGCTAACAAATCATATGATTAGTAGTTGCGTGTGGACCGCGCTTAACATTAGAAAACTCAAACACGTCAAATTTCTTTGGAGAAATTTTGCGGGCCGACTTTACGGATTTCTTTTTAAATAAATTGAACAAAAGTTTTTCTATGAAAATGAATAAATAAAAGATTGACTTGACTGGAACAACATAAAGTCAAAATTACATGTCATGGCTTTGCTCACAAAGCTCAACTTTTAAGGTATATTACCAAAAATAATTATTAAATATCTGTAATACCTTAATTAATTTAATATTATTCAGATCACTAATATTGACATTAAAATTATTAAAACAATTACGAATTTTTACCTGTTTCTGCAATTTTTTCATCACGATCTTTGTCATCTAACTTGGGCAACGTATGCAGACTTCTTAATCTGCCACGAACTCTAGTTATCATTCCCATGTTGCTCACTGAATATTCACAGTAAAAATCACACTTTCCAGTTTCGAAAAAGCGTTTTTCCAAGATTTTCACTTCGGTTTCTCTAAATTTTTCGATGAAAATTCAAAAGAAAATGTTTCTTTGTATCACTGTACGTTTTTTCGCCAGCTACAAATACGACTGCGAATCGCGAATTACCAATTTCCATTCATGTGATGTTTTTCAGGATGTGCCTATGTCCCCACCCCTCCATCGTGTTTTTCATTTTGCGAGATTTCATACAGGGTGGGTCGAATATAATTAATTTTCCATCGTGTACACAACACACTTACTCAGCATGGTTATTTTTGGATCGACTTCGAAAAGAGGAAAGACATCGGTGTTTTTATTGTCGATATTTTAATGCTGTTCTGCTTAAAAATATCTTTGAATATCGTAGGTTGAATAGTCGTACGATCTTGGCCCGACACGCCTCTTTTTATGTTTCAAATTTAACTGTAAAGACAACAACGAAGTGGACAAATTGTAGTTTCTTAAAAGAAAACTGTTACGTCGAAGTTTCACTATCGTGATGATTTAGCGTAGTCATCCTGTAGTTTATTCCTGGCAAGAGTCAACAGGAATACCGCTATAATACGTTAAACTTGAGATCGGTTATTTTTAAAGCGTATAAACATGTTTTGAATGTTTGAAGTACGATCATCTTCACATCCCATTACAATAAAGCTAAAAAATGTGCTAACAAAAGTTTCTTAAAAGATTCGCTGCTCAATAAAATTATTTTTTGTCGAATAATATTTTAGTTTTAGAATGCTTCTCTTAAATTCTCAAAAATAACAATGACAACATATTGTGATCTGTGAGCGTTGTTGAATTCTTTACTATATATAAAAATTGCAATCACAGATAACATTAGATATTATTATGTTATTTGTGTTACAATCATAGATAGAGAAAGGATGTCTTTAATGTCTTTGGTTACAATTCTAGATCATATATACTGGTTGAACCAAGGGGCTGAACAGACTACTTACGTGGATACGTAAATAACTATGAAAACTGTCGCAGACATATCAACTATTTACATTTATCTTCTTTATTTGTTGCACATGAGGTGCTTTTACTTTGTATATTCTTGTCGCGGAACTACTGTCCACAGGCTAAAAATGCATATACAGGTTGTTAATTTCTTTATTACTCGTGGCAAGAGCTTTATGGTTGAAATATGGCAACCTCGGCCCGCTCGTAGAGATACGACGCGACGCCATAGCGACGCGAAGGGACGAGTCGGCAGCTTAGCTTAGTACTAATTTGGAATGTAGGCAGTGTTGCCATTCTGTTCCCCAATAAGTAACCGTCCAGTTAACAATCTGTATATGCTAGACTCATATGCCGAATTCGCCCATTGAGCGAAATAAATACATCCACAAAGTTGCACGAAAGAGTTTTGATTGCATTGGTTTCAACTTCTATGCGGAGGGGGTTAATCTTCTGTTGTTATATTTTATCAAAAAAAAAATAATCCCAACCGCAAAGAAGTTATATAAAGACTATTTATAACCACGAAGTTGCACGAAAGAGTTTTGATTGCATCATAAATAATAGCATTTAATCATATCGCGAAATGAGTATTTATTTCGCTCAATGGGGAATTCGGCATATGAGTCTAACATATAAATACAACAAGAAATTGAATGTTTACTGTCAAAAAAAAATTATATAAAAAATACATTTAGCCACTCCGTACGAATAAGAATATTCTTAGGAAATCTAACCAGAAAGTATGCCGTGTGGTTTAATATAAATAAAAGTACAACTGAATACTTTATTTCCCTATGAAACGATAATTCGGCGTCCTTTATAAGAATTTCCACACACCAAACACTTTCTATTTTTTTATGTAGTAGTATATAAAAAGTCCAACGAAAAAAAAAATTGAAATATAAAATATAATTGCCCAAACTTAAAATTAACTTCTTAGTGAAAACACTTGCATCCATTGCTATATAAAGGCGCTCGATAAAAGAGTAATTAATAACATTTTTAAAATAAAAAACGCAAAAAACAAGCGGCGTTACACAATGAAAATGAAATGACAATACAAAGAAGAAAAGCGTATGACAATGAAAAGTTGTTTCCATAGCAATGTATAATTTGTACTTTTTAAAACCGTATAAAATTGTGATTCTTTTGAAAATATGTGCAAATTTTAATGCGCATGCGCAAAGTAAGATTCTCGGGGAAGACCAGGGAAGATAAACCTACTGAACTTTTCATACGTACAATAAAGAAGGTTTGAAAATAGCATGTCGTGATCTTGGAGACACCGTTTTTAATGCTAATCATATATATTAGTATATGTAATGATAATATAAATATGATCTAGGGTTACAATATAAAAATATAAATTGTTTCCAAACAAAAAACATGTGCAAATTTATTTCATTTTTCTATATATTAAACAATTAAATAAGACTGAAAAAAATAGAAATGAAAAGAAATAGAATAGAATCAAGTGTTTTACGAAACACATCTAGGGATTCTAGAACTTTTAGATAATTACAATAAATTTAAAGAAAAACAGGAAACTTTATAATGAATACCTATAAAACACTGTAAACAAAGTATTTTTTTGAATAAGTGTGTTTACATATTTTGTAGGCATTTATGAATTTGTTCACTAATTTTAGAGACAGCCAACTTAATTCTGTAAGCTTTGATACAGCAATTTCTAAAAAAAAATATTTAATGTATTTATAAATTTGATGACGTAGGTACGCAAATATGATGTCAACATAAGTTTGAGGGCATTTTCTGATTTATTTCTAATTTTCATAGCTAAAATATCACATGTTTTTGAAATTCATTGAGTCTGAATAAACAGTATTGTAATCACTAGTTAAATCATGAATTTAAATCAGTTAAAAAAATTAAAATAGGGTGTTTGCTCCAAGGGCATAGAAAAGGGGGGGGGTACTGGGGGACAGTATCCCCCCCCCCCTGACGCTTGACGAGATACGAGAATTGAAATAGTCATTGACTATAAAAGGATTTTTTTTAATTAAAATCCGACATAAGAACACTTTGTATGCTTTTAATTATGTTGATTTATCGTTTATAATATGTTCGACCTAATTAAAAGCACACAAAGTGTTCTTATTGGCCAGGACAGATCAGTGGGGTTAACTCTAATCAATATCCATAAAGATATTGAAATAAATGTTGATGCTGTTATTGATAGGTTTTCCAAACAGCGTACTAGAAAACTTGATTTTGTTTTGTAGTTTTATTTATAGTTTTTATAGTTTTTTTTGATAGTTTAGAGTTTTTTTTTATAGTTTATAGAAAATTAACTAATAAACGTCGTTGTTTCATTTTTGTTTATGTTATTTACAAATCTATATTTTAATTTTTGTGTTATGTTTTTATCTTTTTGAAGACAAAAAAATCGCCGTCGTTTTAATTCGACAAAAAAATTCCGACGGTGATTTTTTTTGCGACTTAATCATAGTACCACCCCCATAGCATACACCTATCTACGCCCCTGGTTTGCTCTACATATTTGCGTCAAGTGAGCTGGTTTTTCCATTGTTTAAAAAAATCAAATCGCCAATATATTGATTTTTGAATTTTTTGGCACCAGATCATTTCGTAATTCTAAATTTGTATCATCCGTTTTTATAAGCATTTTTTTAAGACACTTTTTCTCTACAGACATAACAAAAACATCGCTACCTACTTTTCATAGAAGAAAAAAAAAGTGTTTTTAGTACACGTCGAAAAAATGGGTTACCACTTCAGACTTTCCTACAGGCACAACATTTATCTCAAGAAGTGGTGTAACCAAGGCAGTGGTAGATTGAAGAAATAAAATTTCCAATTCTTTCAATCAACGGTGGTAGTCTTCGGATTCGAAGTATTTCAGAAAAAAATACGAGTTTAATAGAGATTCTTTTTGTTTTCTTCTTTCCTGGAGAAATTCAGAAATTCACTAAATACTAGTTACTCTAACACGTGAGATAGGGGACAACATGTAGCAGTAACACTAATCATTGTTGATCATAACAAAAGGTAATAATGAAGAAAGTACTATGTTACATTCTTAATTGTAAAACAGTATGGGAGAGATAACAACTAAAGGTAGTATCAGACAGAGCTACTTTTGTTGCGCAATTTTTTTGCTGCCGCTTCAAAAGTTGCATAAAGTGTTCATACACCAGCAGAATGTAGCCCAAAATGCGCATTTTTTATGCAGCCTGCCTAAATGTTGTTGTCGGTCGACATGCTTTTCATATATTCACACCAAAGCGCTACTTTCGCAGCATATTTTGGTAGCCGCGCCTTGGAGGGGCAACATTGTGTGTGTAGCTTTTGGGAGAGCAAACTGGATTTGGAACTTTTCGTTTTTGAACGATCTTTAGAATATTGTGTACGCAACTTTTTTTTTCTTATGTCTTCATTGTATGTAATTCAGAAGAAATTTCTGAAATAGCGGCTCGTCTTTTCGTTTGGTTGTGATAGAATGGACTTTTTACTTTTCATAAACAACTCCCTTGCTTCTACCGCTTCTATTAAACATTTTACTTGTTCTCTGTTCCAAATCGCTTGTTTTGACTTCGACGACATCGTAATTTGTCGGTTAATTCTTTACTAAATACCTACATATAAATCCTGGAGTTAACTGAAAAAAAGTGTATACATTTCGGGCATACCAACATAATACTGCACCGATGTCCGCAGTAAAAGTTACAACTGATTAGTAATCTTTTGCTGCATCTTGCAACCTACCTCAACAACTGTTCACACCGGCTATTTTTTAAACTGCGCGCAACAAAAAAGTAGCCTTCGCAACCAAGCTGTGATCGCAAAGTTGCAGGTTGCCTACCCAAGTAGCAAATTTTATTTTATAAAGGCTGTATAAACAGCTATGTGATCATTTTTATAGGATACCTCAATTCATATAACGTGCTATAAGACCGTAATATGATAGCTTTACAACCAAAAAAGGCCCATTTTTATACAACCGTTTAGTAGTATAGAAGTTCTATAAAAAGGGTATACAACTCTTATGCAACTATTTTACACAGCGTTATATAACTATTATAAAACTAGTGTTATTGTGTATTACGTGGTTACATCTAAGAAACAGAACAATAAAAACATTTGATCATTTAGCGAGGTAACAGAGTATTTTATTTTTTACCGAAGAATATTAGGA